AAGTTGCCATAGTAACCTACTAAAACGGTTGCCCCATTAAGGATCAGCTGCTGAAATGCCTATGTTGTGAATAATTCACGCAAGGAAGTATTTGTTGTTTTCACCTAATAGCATCAACTGTTGTTTCATGCACCATGTTGCCAACCGATCTCATTAACTTCACAAATCAGACGGTGTTCGAAAGAATGTCATATTTTTAACTCAAATCATACCTGTGCTCTATATTTGTCCCGTTATTTCCCTCTATAATTGTTGGAAATTCAAAAGTACTTTTGTATTCCCTTGGCTGAGTGTTCTCAGTACATGGATTTATCCTTAATGGTGTTCGTGTCCTTCATATTTTTGCCAATTGTTGTGAATTATTGTCATTTATTTGTCGAAAACTTGCTGCATCTGCTACTTAGAATTTAACAGGGTTTAATTTACTTGATGTATAAGCACTAAATTATGTTCTTAAAAACCGTTAGAGCACTTTTTATTACCAAGAGGGAAATTGACAGGTGTGTACTGCAGCTGAGGGCAGTGAAAGACATCATGTAAAAGTATTTTAAGCCCTTATTTCTTCATCCTTCCTACAATTGTTTCATCAAGATACAACCGAGCCTCTTTAATCCGAAAGGATTGTATCTTCTGGACCACGATGTGGCATTGTTTTAAAGTTAGCAGACGATGACAGTTTTTATTACTGTTTTATTACTCCAGGCTTTATATTTTCGCACTTATTCACTTTTTCCTTCCTCACTTCCAAAGGAGATTTGTCAGCCTCCCACATTCTCAACACCTTGACGGCAGCCTCCTCGTCGATGAATGTTGGAAACGGGAAGAAAGAGTCGGAGCGCAGACTCGGTCTCCTCATCCTCTTACCCATGCGATTGGGCGCGGGCGACCGCATTGAGGCAGGTCACTTGCCAACCCTCCTTCGTCTCCTGCAAGACCCCGCATGCGTCGGTCTCATCGGTGGACGTCCTCGGCACTCTGTCTATGTCGCTGGTGTCCAGTCCGATCGCCTTATCCATCTTGATCCGCATTTCTGTCAGGAGGCTGTTGACGTCTCCACTCTGTCTGATGACGATGAATTTGACTTGTCGGTGAGTCTTTTATCCGAAACCTTCCTAGATCACTTCGTCACATCAGCTGTAACCGCATAAATGATGGATAACCCAATGTAATACACGTTATGAATTTTTTTTGGAAAAGTTTTGTTTGATTAATATATAAGTTAGATTTGTATGGATATCAGTAGTCTCAATGCCGTTGTTAAAGGTGTCTTGAAAGTTGATTCTGTAATCATAATTATTTGATGCTTGATAACAATTTAGTATAATCTGATGATAATGTGCATGGTACTGTTGGAAGCTTTAGTAATTTTCTGGTCACAAACGGGTTGGCGCTTAAACCCTAATTCCTTCGTCTCTTTGGTACCTCAAGACATGGCACTGCTCAACTCCACGGGTCATGCGTGCACAACGTTTGGATCCAAGTTTGGCTCTGGGCTTCTACTGTGGCAGTCGTAATGACGCCGTTAGTCTTCTTCATCGCCTACCAATCATCTCAGAATCGGAAATTTCTTCCTCCTCCTCCTCCTCCTCCTCCACCGCTTCGTCGCATCACCTGATTGAAGTGGTCACCGCTTCGCAGGTGCAGCACCTCTTTGCACCCCCTCGATTCCCCGACCCCCATCCTCCCAGCGACGATGCCGGGTGGGATGGTGTCCACGATGGTGGTGATACGTGTCTCGTCGACCTCTAACCGTGTCCTTACCTTGTCTGTCCTCTGTGTAAGATCTAGCAATATAGATATTACTTTTGTGTTTTAAGTAAGGCTCGTTGGTTAAAATCGTGGCATTGAGATTTCTGTATCAGTGGGAAGCATAGTTTCAATCGCTTTTGCGATTGCGCAGACCTTTTCCATTTTCTGTGATTCAGCCTCCACACTACTGACATGTTTGCTTATAATTACTCTATTTTCGAACTTGTATATCTTAAAAGGTATTCAGGGTTATCGAATTGACGTAGTTGGTCCCCATCATCCTTCACCTCTTGTGAAGATCACACCCACTTTTGCCCATCTCTCAAAGGAGACTGGTTAGTAAGTGGAAAGAGTATTCGAGGCACGTATCTGTTATGTTTGAATGAGTTTGAAGGATGCTTCTTAAAAATGGTTAGTTTTGACAGCTTCTCAAATTGGGGTAGTCGAAATCATTCATACTGGAAGCGTTAACCCTATTGATATGGGAAATATGAATTATGGGTGAGGGTCGGGAGGATGGTGGCTATTCTTTCTGTAGGAAACTGGGTGTGGTTCGAGTGGATGGTTTGACGACAACTTAATGGTGGGAAAATGGGTGGCGATCGCGCTGGAGGTTTTCTAGCTCCAGGTGATACTTTGTAGGTCCACTTCACCGTAAACACTGAAGAAGGTCTGAGGAGTGAATCTGTTATAATTCATTTAAAATGTCTGAGTGTCTGCTTTCAGAAGACTTAGTAATTCAGTAGAAAGTCGCTCAATTGAGATCGTGGCAAACGAACTGGAAGGGTGGTCGTGATGTATATCGAGAACGGAATTTTAAAAAATCACAGAGTAGGATGGCACCTATTTAAGTTCTATGTTTGACTCCCTGGGTTCTCTATCTTCAGTGAGTCAGCCTCCGCTAGGCTTACACGGAACTCTGCTTAATCCCCTATGGTCCCAGCGTAGGTTTTTCAGTTCTCTTGGGTCTGCATACCCTATAACATTTTTGGGAGTAATTCGGCAGCTATATTAAAATATTCTATCGATTGTTGCAATAGCACTAGTCGTTTTGTAATCGGAAGCTACGATTTCCTGATACTGTATGTAGTTTCTCCAGCATTAGTAAAGGTATTATTGCTAGAGTTTGCCATTTATGGGTGGTATGAAATGGCACTAACTTTGCCGGCATTTATCTCTAAGCCATATAATTGTCCTTAAACAATTAAAAACCACCAATGTTGATTTACATCCTCCGCATACCCGTCTTGATCCCACTGTCGGTGTCCTTTAAATGTGCACTTTTCTCTTTTTGAGGTCACTGGGTTAGGAAGTGTCCTCACGCCAGTAAGCTGGCCACTCTAAGGGGTGAATGGCCCACTGTCTATTTTGGATTTTATCGCTGAGCCCTTCAGTAAGCCTTGAGAGATGTTTAAGCGATCTGTGTTTTAAGGTTATTATTATCCTTTGAATGGGTCGCCTTAACATCCTGGAATTCGGGTTCGGACGTCTGTGCTAACCGTTTTACTGAATGTCTGGGAACAGCATTGCCAGACTTACTGCAAAATAACAAAAATCCGACTTAGTACGTAGAAACGTCAAAAGGATAAATTTTCGGCGACTCTCAATGGAAAGACTATGGAAAGTTGCTCTACTTCTGACAACCATCTCATTACTGAGCTCTGTGCGCTGACCAGTAATGCATCCAGATCAGACCTAAAGGAATTGATACCATCTTCAAAATGGCTTACAGGATGTGGTCTTAAGGCAGCATCAAAAAGGTGTGACTCTGAGACCCCTTCTCATGTCCCATTCCTTATTAAGTGATTTTATTTTGAGGCCAAGGCTCTTGATGAAAGCAACGGAAACGCAGAATGTGCTCAATGCAGAACACTGCCTACTCTAAAACACATTCTGAATTGACCCCCAATCCAATGTCCTTATTGGAGAGCGAAGTGTATCACCATTACTATCAAGAAAAACTTTTTCACTGTGGCCGTGTTTCATCATATCTTGGTTCTCTTTTGGTGGTTTTTCTCAACTCACTGGAAGATTTGTGATGAAAGTGGGGGATGCTTTAAACTAGATGAGGTTCACTTCATTACGACAGCCTCTAGCGCTTTGGTTTCTGCGCAACTGGCCTTCAACGTCAGGAGTAACTCGTGTAGCATTTGTTTAGTCAATGAAAATAATTCCTCCAGAAGGGTTTTTCTCCGTTTTGTCACTTTATCTTCAATTTGACCGACTCCAATCATCGGTTCAAGGTTATTGTAAATCCTCAAGGCGGTATGAAAAGGTTGACAACTTAGACTGACACTACATTAAACGAACACACAGTATTTTAGAAATGTCCTGCCATTGTTCTGAGGGTTTACCGAACCTTCACTTCCCGCGAAAAAATCCAAGAATTATGCGAACAAATGAAGACACCTTCTTTTTGAACATGCAATCGAGGTGTAGGATGGCCGACAGTTCCAATGATATGGTGAAGACATCTCGCAGTTAACCACAGGTGAAACATGGCTCAGACTTTGTCGAATGTCTTTTAACGCCCTTACTAGCTCTAATAATGGAGACCCTATTTAGTGCATATTCATAATTTCTGTGTGTAAAATCCATTAAAATTTTTCCAAAATGTCAAATTTATTAAAATACTTGAGTTAAATGACCCTTTTTGAACTGCACCGCAAAATGGAGAGCCAATTTTCATCTGGTTTCAATGAGGCTGTTTAATTAAACCTTAAAGCAGCTAAAATGCTAAGATTCCGTTGGTTATGTGGTGGGCAATACTACAATAATTTTTGCTAGTTATTTGAGTCGCTTTTGTGGAATAACAATGCTTGGTAGTTGGGAGGCCATGTAAGGGAGTTTGGGCAGTATTGTCGATGTAGCGATTTTCACACTTCCGCAATGACAGTCTACTCCACAAATCACAAAACGCGTACTTCATCAGAATCTGCACACACGCACACACTGCCTCGTATTCACATACAACAGTAATGTGCGTGGTGCGCACCATGCCGCGAGGTGATTGGTTAATTCCTCACACGCGTCCGACACACACTAGCCCCAACCAATCAGCGTCGCACCACTCTGCCCGCGAATGCAGCCCGCAACGGCAGGTTCCACATTCCACCATGGAGGCGTTGTCTAAGTTGGTGAGTCCTGTTCTGTCCTGTCCTGTCTTGTCGATAGGTCCTAGCGGTGTAGGCAAATCATCTAAGCAGTAATCACTACCACCCCAATCTGGGCACGTGTTGAAACGCGAATAAAAGATGCATAGCCGCACTTTTTTGGGAGAACACCAGTGCTGCCACCGAGTTCTCTGTTTCCTTTTAGTCGTCGGGGTTCCATGACTTTGCAGCCACAGTTTCTGCACACACCTTTACACACGACGATGTTAACGCACTACCCACACCCCCCTCAATTCTCCCACTGGTCCCCACTGACAACGTGATTAACAGTGGCGACGGGAGCGGCGGTAGTGGACCTCTCTTGAACGTGAAAATGAGCCCTGGTGGTGGTAGTGGCAATGGCAGCGGTGAAATGGAGGGCAAAATGGGCTTCGTTGTCGATCATCAACCACCCCCGAAAAAGCTCTTCTCAGACGATATTCCTGTTCTGTGAGTTTCTCACGGCCTTCCGTATGAAACAAGTGTTTTATTTGTTAGTCTTGCATCTGTTTGTGATCATCCATTGGTGGATGCAACTGAGAGTTGGATATGCCTTGCGTGACTTTCATTTCTATCTTTTAGGGATCCATTTCCGGGCTATTATGGTTTCGATTTATACCGACCCCTGTGTGAAGATGCCTATGATTCAATCGAGACAAAACCCAGTACTGCCTACTTTGTAAGTCTTTAGCTTTTACACAAGATATGTTCTTCACCCATGAATCTCTTAGAAATGTTAGTTCCTTTTGATTCGTGTCTTGTAAATTCCTAAAGTCCTATCAGTAGCCGTTTTGGGTAATTAAAATTTTCAAACCAGACCATCGTAAAGCCATCTGGACGAAAAAAGCTTTAAACCCTTTGACCGTCGTGGCAAGATATGCTTCGAAGGCTTCGTCATTGTAGTCTCTTGGAAATACAACTGTCCTGAATGAGATTTTTGATGGTGTCCAATCATATGATTATTTTTAATAAACTGAGTAGCAATTCTACTAATCCTTTGCTTCCACCAAGTTCTTTAAGGATGATCAAGGCTGGACGAATTTGTATGCTAAAAAGGCACCCACGTGGTGGACCCTCTCCTACTGGTGCCAGCGACAGCCGCCGGACGGCTGCTTCATTCGTCTGACGCCTGTCTACGGCACCTCTGACAAACAGCAGGAAGTCATCCAAAGGTCAGCGTCACTTCAAGAGCTAGGTGTCCCTAAGCGAATTTCCCACTTTCTCATCCTTTCTACCATAAAAATTGTCATTGTCGTTTCTCTCTCTACTATCGATCAATCTGGGGGCAACTTTGATTGCCCTCGAAATGAGGACATTTAACCTCCTTTATCAAAATTTCAGGTGTTTAGAGGACTTCATGGTCTCTCCAACGCCAGGTCTTTCACGATACAGTATGATCTTAGTTGGCAACTCAAACGCTGAATACTTCTACGACCCCACTACCGAGCGTCTTTGTGTCACCCTGCCATACGAGCGTCCAAAAGGTGAGTAGTGAGGTGGGTGAGGGGGAGATGTTGAACAGTGTGCCTAAATTTACAAAAAAAGAACGCGCCTGGAACTGGGTCGGTCATTTGTTGACTTACTCTCGGTGTTCGTAAAGAGTAGCGTTTTGGGTAAGGTGGGACCCCCTTATTCATGTCTTCCTCTCAGGCTGAGAGTAGCTCATTCTAGCGGTTTTAATTGGTCATAAATCGTCTCCCATTAGCAGTATGCTTTTTGCAGGTTGAAGGGTGTTGGATCTGAACCTGGTTTGGAGTTCGACAGTGTGCATTTGAGCGAATAAATAGCACCATCCGGTGACTCATTAAAGACTGGCACAGAAAGGCGTATCCGCCCTGAGTTATTGTTTTTTTTTTAGCGCTTCTCTCAATGATTATGCTTTCTATTGCAGAAGGCTGTGAGTACAGCCAATTCAACGGTAAATTCACCTGCTTCAACAGCTGTCTGTACAATGGGGGACAAGGAAACAAGAAACCGCTTTATCTCATTATTACTCTGGAACGACCAATCAAAAAGTGAGTTTATGAAGCTGGCGGGGGGCACACGGCGGGTGCTCTGCTCTTACCGTGACGCTATCAACAGGCGAATACAACGTCCCTTGCACTACTCTCCCCCCCACACCCCACCCTTCTCTTTCGGCTGTACGAGCTTGTGTGCGCATAAATGTGCAAAAGGCGGTGGTGATGCTTATCTATCTCACTGAGTCGCTTTCACCTAAGCTTACGTGTTCCAACAGGTGAAGTCGTCTAACTTTAACCGTCCAGGATATGCGGTGCATGCACTAATCGGCCTCAAGCAGCCACGTGGAAGATTATTGGCGTATATGCATCTACTACTGCTGGTGGTGGTGATGGTGCTCTTGCTGTGGATGTGCAAAAATTGAAGTCTATTACTCATGTTGCTCCTAATAACAGCAGCGCAAAATAAAGTTCACAACTTTACAGGTTGTAAACTAAGTCATGCAAATGTCCAGGAGAATATGGAGAGTCATGTTTTCACCACCTTGGAGAATGCTATCTGTGACTGGGCTATAAATCGCGGCTAGTTTGGTTCTTAGGTAAGATGCATTTAAGTAATTTTTACAGTCTGAAAAGTGGCGAGCCCCTAATTCAAGTAAGAAAAGTGTACAGGTTTCCCTACACTGCCGTTATCTCAAATTCCTTACTTGAGCTCGCTCTTCAGAATTACTCTTGCTACTTGCCAACAAGGGTTATTTACTTTCGTCGATACTAAGCTCATTTCAAGGTCGACACGATCCACCTTTACTGTAATATTCTATTTCAGTGGATCAGCAACGGAAGGTCCATGTGAGGTACTGGGACGGCAATGCCTCAAGTTCCGCAGCTGTGCCTGCCCGAAGCGAGACAAGGACAACAACGAGAGACGCATGGCTCAGGACATGGGAGATGGGAATCTGGCTTCGAATAGTGTTCTCAGCTCCAAGCGTCGGCGTGAGGGTGGTGAGCTGCATCTACGGAAGTGAATTAATGGCCATAGATATTGGATGGAAGATTTGATTTTGCTTCTTACCGCATTTTCAGTATCTCAAAGGTCCTCACGAGGTAGTCGTGGCAAGAATTTCACATCAACAAGTGACCGCGTCGGAACGCCCCAGTTCTTTCAACAGGATGAAATATCCTCGAGTTCAGGATACGATGACCTGGTGCAAATTGACGGGGAGTCCTTCCATCTCATTCTGATGCCTGCGTACCTTCCCGGGGGAGCGCATACTCTGCGTCAGATGCGCTCGGCTCTGCTGAAAATCTTTCAGACTGCGCGTGACTGCGAAGACGACCGCAAGAACTCCAACTCCGCTGCCTCAGGCTACAGCAGTGAGAGGCAGGAAGAATTGCTTCAAGCTCTTAATTCAATGGAGGGCCGAACTGCTTCACTATTGTGAGTTTGATTAATTTAATGTTAGAAGTCCCCCATATTTGTCGCATTAGTTACACTCCTTTCCTTTTTCAGACGTGATCTACAAACATCATCGACATTTGTCAATCCAAACAGTTGTTCAACAGACTCACAACCAAACTCCTCAACATCACAAGCTTTCACTTGTCCAACTGGCGGATCGTCTGGAGCGTTAGACCCCATTGGAAGCTCCACTCTCGACCTCTTAGCTTACGACCACCTACATTCACAGCACATAATCAAGTCGGAGAATAGTTTCTTACAGCCATTTTCTGGCCAAACTAATGAATACCACCGCAGTCGGATGAACTATCCGTCCACACTTACTACAACCCTCGAGAGCGCACACCAACAGCGTGTGAGTGGCTGTTTTGAAAGCAACACTGGTGGAACCGATCTTCCGACATTTAATGGGATCAGCATGGACTCCTCAGCTGCCGCGGCTTACGCAATGATGCCTTCGGCTTTCCAATCCTTCCGAGACAGCGATTCTATCCATCACTATCAACCGAACGTCTTCATCACATCCTCGCAGAACACCGTTAACTCGTCCGTCCCCTCAGTGGTCATCTCCCAAGACAACAATGGAGCTCTGGTTGCAGCTTTCGGAGCAGCAGTTTCTTCGTCACAAAGCAGTGGAAAGCTCTTCGAAGAAATTGCTAATAGCAGGCAGCAACAGTGTCACCAAACAAGTGGAACTGATGTTTCAATGGTTAGTGATATTACTTAGCCCATGGTAGGAACCCATAGCCAGGTGCTTTTCTAACATGAACTGGGATTAACAGGCAAACAAAGAAAACTGCTTGCTCAGCCACTAACCTAATTGGTTTCAACCGATTCTACTGGCAAAGTTTAAATGGCTAACACAGATGTCATTTGCCTTTCTATTAAAGTCACCGGAGCCATTCTAAATCAGAGGTAATTGGATGTTTTAGGGGTAAACCTCCTTCTCCCCTCAATTCTTTGTGTGGTTCTTTAAAATAGGCCTAACTAAGTGGTGACACGTCTACTAACACCTACTTATCCACCCCCCAAAAATCTATCAACATTTGGATCCCACAAATCCGAACTCGCCTAACTTTCACTCACTGGTACAATTAATACCACGTTGCCTCTCCACTACGACGTTCAACCAGTTATCCTGTTATCCTAGAGTAATTCCTCGTGTGGGACAGCCTCACCAATATCTCCGGCTTCGTCAAACAAGAACTAGCCAGGGATGACTTCATACAGTTTCCTGCTTTACTTTCTTCCTTCCCCACTTCCCTTCCTCTCATTTTCCCGCAAACAACTGTACATAAGGGTTTCGCGCAAGCGGCTCTGTTTATGGTATCCCTGTTTCTCGTCCACTTTCTTTGCTGATAGTGTCATTGAGCTGCTTATTCAAATATGCTGCGTAAAAAAACCACCTCATGCTTTCTTACTTGAGGATGATTGTAACCTATTTTGCCATTTGTGAAAACATCTGTTAAGTCTTTTGTTCAAGTATTCGTGTGTGTGTGTGTGTGTATGTGTGGTCTTTAATTTAGCCAAAAGAGGATTGAAAAATCAGCCATATTTGTTTCGGACTTTGTCAGACTAGGGCTGCATTAAACGAAAGCTCTGGGGATGGGTTTAAAATTTGTCCCATTATCTCCGCGCTTTTTTCCATCCGTCGCGAAAACAGCATCTCTTTCACTGGACAATGTACGAGTGACACGATTGCCTAAGGTTTCCTCACTTGGCTTCGGACTCCATTAACTGGATCGTCATAAAACTCCAAGCCTAGACCACCGGTATGTGGTGCCCCTTCGTACACAATCGATTTCTGGAAAAGGCTGTGGAGCTCCCTTTTGAAGTTGCGCCTCTAGGCCAAAATCATCGAGTTTGTCAATGCTTATAAAAACGAGTCAAGCCAACAACCGGAGTGGTGAGTCAGCCGGGAGGTACCATTGCCTTGTGTGGTCATTTTTCATAAATGCGTGTGTAGATAAGTTTTGTCTAAGTCTCACAGGGCGGATCGGCGGTAGCGACACAGGCGGGGGCGTTAGTGGCGTGCGAGGGTATAGCAATCTCAATCGCAATAAATGAGAACAACGGTGGCAAACCGACGACGGCCGTCTGGTCTGGCAGATGCCTTAAGCTACAGGTCGTCAGGACAGATGAGTGATCGGTGTGTAAGCTACCAGAGCCTTGGAGGAGTATCAACCACCCAGCTTAGATGTTTCGTTGTCTTGATGTCTCTGTTGAATAAAAACTAAAAACTGCAGTTATCCTCGAAAGAAAAACACCTTGCACTAATTTTTTGCGACTGTTTGATGCAACGAGTCTCGCTCGGATGAGAGAACGTCACATATATGTCACGATTGTGGAGAATGTGTAAAATGTCAATACCCAGCTGTTACATTAACGTTCGTCCAAATAATAATTGACGATGTAGACCTTCGGTCTCCAACGCTTCGACTACCATGACATCACTATGGCCAACTTCCGATTCCTGTGAATCACAGCGCCTTTAGCGAGAAATTAAACAAAAAATCGGTGGCAGGGCCGACGAGAAGGGTGGTAATCCTGATTTCTTCCAGTGGATACTAAAATTGAGCCAAAGTTGTCTACAGAAAGCTGTCAAAATATTCATATGGGATGCAAAAAGGTGAGAATAGTCTAGGAAGACAACTGAGCAACAACCTACTGTAAATGCGGGAGGATCGGGCCTGGCTTCACCGTGCTAAATCATCTAGTACATTTAACTAAGTAGGCTTGCTGAGAAAATATCTTCATGAAAACGATTTGTTTACGGAATAGTCGCAATATGTGCCATCTATCAACCTTGGGAAATACCAAACTACTGAATCTCTACGACGCAGCTAGATGATAATGCGACACGATGTATAGCCACTCTCTTCTTGCTGGGATGGAGAACCAGTGTTCCTGTCTCACTGGTAATTTTAACTCCCTTAGAGACTTCTGAGGACTAAGATGGAATTGTCAATACACTGGAGGCCAATAATAGCACCCGAAACACGGCAGGATTCGGCAGCAAAATGTCCTTCATGTTCTAGTTCCTACGCTAGTGACAGGATGTAAATCAAAAAAACTATACAAATTTACCACCTGAAGTGATTCACCATTACTACTGTGACTAATGTTACATACCCGTATTCTTATGCGAAATAATCTCTAAACTTCTATCGTTGAAAAGTTGGAATGTATAGCATTTGAAGTGTTCAAGAATGAAGGTAAATTTTGCAAAGAACTTGTCGATTTACCTATTAGAGTAGCGGTATCCGGAACTCCCCTAATCCTTTGTACAACTTTAGACTACACTGCAGTCCAGATATTTAGCTGATTAGAAATAACGACTCGGTGAATGCAACTTGGCTAAATAAACACTTGCGCATAATTGAAAGAACAATAAACTCACCACACTGCGCCCAAGAAGTCCACAAAAGGCGTATGAACTGGTACGTCGTCTTCCCTCACTCTAACATGTGCGAAACCAGGTGGATGAGTGTTTCGGTGGCTGAGCAGGTGGGTGGATGCTAGCGTGCATGCGGAGTTGAGAAATGCTGAGAGAATAGCATGCACACACACACATACGAATACACACTAATTGTCAACCTGCGGACTGCTGCGTTTGTGTAGGGTGGGCGGAACATATAGTAATTTTGAACTAGTGAAGCCCCTCCTCCCCACCCTCCCCACAATCGGACTCACGCATACACCTGTGCTAGGTGCTCAAAAGCACTCGCAAGGACAAATGAATAGGGCGGAAGGTGGGTCACTTTACGTGGTCACAGCACTTCCTAAGCTCAGTCGCATTAACATCAAATTGCGCACACTGCTGTTTGTGTCCACACTATTAAGTCTAGGGTGCAATGTCAAAGAGTCGACAAGTTTTACTCTTTACGCAATGGAAAAACGAAGCAGAGCAACATATTGGGAACGTCATCTGGATAAAAGCATCCAGAAGGGCGCCAAAAACTACACACTATCACTGAAATACCAGGTGCGCTACTGTAGCACTATTTGGAGACAACCCACAATTGTCGAAATGATTTTATGTCTGAATAACTAAGCTTGATTTAGCTGTAATTCAAGGAAGGATTATATTGACTCGTCTAGGTTGCTTTAGTCACACATGGAATACCGACTAAACGTAATAAGATTTATGGTAATTGACTGGACCAAGCACAGGCGATTTTGATGTTAAAGGGAATGCAGTGTAGTTTTTTAAAGAGTTGTTTCCCTGATTGTTTTATGGTATTATCCCCTATGAAGATAAATGGGTTCCTTTTTCGGAGCATTTTTCGTTCCCACCTTGGTTTTCCCGCATAGTTATCTGTAAGTACTTCTTCTGGTCCATTTTGAGTGAAAAATCTCTGGCATGCGAACCTCCTTTCTCTGGTCTTTCGAATCACAGAAGTTATTTCACTTTTCGCATCTAAAAACCTGCTTGTTAAATGGCAATGAAACTGGGCGTCATCGTTGGGAGCCTTCTATTGGCAAATGATCAGAGCGATCGGTCATTTGACAGTTTAAATTAGTATTTTTAAAATAATTATTTAGGTGTTTAAAATAATTCTCACATAATACCAACTTCTCAGCAGTGAACTCTTGGTTTAGGAAAAGGGACACTTGGTGTCTTGGTCACTGTGGGCCGGTCTCTGGGCCCTGCCAGTAGTCCCAGGCCCTTCTCTACGTTCAATATACATATTCTACCCGAGTATTACGTCTTCTTCGGTCTTTGAGGAAGTCTTGGGGTGCTATATTACTATCCGAAATGAACGGTTTTAGAAATGACCACAAAACTATTAGTCATGAAATTAATGAATAATGGTGAATCGTCCCGACTCTTCCCCACAGTATGGTAGGAAGTATATTACTATCGTTTAGAAGGACTTGGAGGCTACGGACACGGTCCGGAGACCATTACCATCGGGAGCAGAAGTCCGATCCACGGAGCCTTAAGCACCAGAGCAATCAAATGGAGAGTTAGACAAACTACCAAAGCATTACAAATGGTAATTAAAGGTAGTAAAGTAACTCTGAATATGAACCGGAGAAATGTGGTCCCTTAGTTTCAAAGCTACTAAAATTCAACCACAAGTCAGCTTTGACTTGTATGCCAAAATACGGAGTAGTCACCTGCATTGTGCAGACATTTTTATGGACCAATTTTCTTTTGCCGTCATCTTTACCAAATCATTAACTCTGAGTCCATCTCTCTGTCCTAACTGTAGCTTTCTCTCACCCCTACTCAACCGTCTACCTAACGCCTCAGCGACCTCTGCAAAACAGTTGCTTTACTGAAAGAAATGCTTTATGTATAGCCCTAACTCCTCCACCCCCACATCACAGTCGTGTCACCAATTCATTTAATTAGAGGTGCCCCCACCCCACCACCGTGACTGCCGTTAGTTGTTAGGTCGGCTTACCCGACAGAAGGCAGTAGGCGGAACCGATAACAATCGTGCATGCAGATGTGTTTGGCCAAAAAAGACAATACAACGTCTTGCAGCCATTTTACCACCTTAAATAATGTGATCTTTTTTGCCTTGGAAAACTTAATTGGGACCCACGAGTCATTAAGAGCGTGCCTGACATCGCATCCAATAAAAAAAAATGCGGACATTTCGACAGCTTAAAAAAACAAGATGTAGAAAAATTTAAGTTTTAAATATATGATTATTTCCTTTCATGACACACCACCAGGTTTTGAAAAGGTACTAAAACCGTCGTTGCCATTATGCGGCCCAAAAAGCTAGAAAAGCCTCGAATTGCTTGCATGCCTAAAAATAGCTAAAATGTTTTTAGTAGAATTGCCTTAGAAACCGGAGAGACAAGTGTGCATGACGTAGCTGATGATCTGCTCTAGTCGTCTTGGCAACACAGAGCAGGTAATTGAGGTCTTTAAGGTATATTTTAAAGGCTACATCTTTCACCCTATGCGCATTTCTACAATGCAAGTGGAGACAGACAGGGACGACTGGTTATATTGTCAGATAAAAATGCATACCCAATCCGCATTTGAGCTTGCGGTTTGGCTTCAGATTTAGTAGGGTGATTCAAGGTAACTAAATAATCGAAATAGAAAAGCTGAAAAAGTCCCGCACAGTATATTGTTTATTGAAACGGTCAAAATTTCAGTGTTCAAGCTTTCCCAACAAGATTTACATTTTGCCCCCCGGAGTCAAAAAATCCAATTCAATCGCCTTTTTTCCCAAGCTCCCTACTCTATTACGCACGAGATTACCGAATGCCGAGATAGTGTAAAAGCCACCTGTAGGACTATGGAGGACAAGGGTGAGGATGAGGCAGTACCTCCCCACTTCCCACCCTAAAGTGCGAACCCTCCCAAGGTATGGGGCATGAGATTTGTGTTGCAAGGTAAGAACAGCACTTCCCACTGATTGTCCAGTCAAAGCCTCGTCCGTTTCTGTAGACTTAGTTCTTCATGAACATGTTTTGTATTAGGTGGATGGATGGAAGGATAGATCGATCTCAGGCAGAGGTGTTGTTTGGCCTCCAGCAAGAAATCCATGGTGAAAAGTTTCATCTGCAGTCCACTACACGCACACAGAACCAAAGCATAGAGCTGAGGCAATTAAGTGATGCACCCTTTGGAAGTATGCGTTGGGTAGTTGGTAGTGAGTGGATTGTTTGGGGTTAACTAATACTAGGGTCGTTTGATTAAAGAGGCAGAAAGAGCCATTTCTCATCACAAGTCCACATCAGTGCATCAACAACCTGGAAACGGTAGCGCTTCTTCATTGCCTCCTATTAATACACATAGTACATGGTCCCAGTTGGCTTAGTACATTCAGGGTTTCCTCAGTTGAGGTGAGGTAGTTTGGTTGCCAACGCCTTGTTTCATCAACATCATCATCCATGTTGAATATTCGTAGACCTCTTAATTTTGCTATTCACTTTAAGCCATATGGAGACAGTCCTTCAATATCAAATATATAGGATTATATCTTTCTGGACGTGATGCATCTCCCTGTCTGTTTATCCACCCCACAGTAACGGAATTCTTCAAGAGCAACCTCCTCCCAGTTCGCTGACATTCAAATTTTTCCAAAAGTTGCCACAGCAAACAGGCTTGAATTTCACCAAGCTCAACAGATATGTGATGTGTGAGGTTCACACAGGAAAGTGATGGTGAGC